TGCGACATTCTTCACCCCCCTCTCCCCAATAGGTGCCCTTATGCTGAAACCTCAGATTCAAACTCACTCAATTAAACTCGCTGATTTGCGGGCATTACCTAATTCCATTACATAATCGGCACATCTATTAATGCAGTGCTGTAATTATTCCACACAAATTAGAATTCAAAGGTCAGTGTGCAAGACCCATATAAAGATAATGGTACTTAATGAGTGGCCATTCACCAGTCAAGTGTGTGCATTTGAGTGGGCATGAGAGGCATGAATTAGTGGGATGTAGATGGAGAGGCGAGAATTTGTGTCATGGTGAAGGAGAGTTTGAGAGAATAGATGTTTGGGTGTATGAAGGAGAAGGAGTATGAGGGATTTCAGTAAGCAAAAATCATTAGGAGTATTCCGACCGGTTCTTGGATGACGACCTCACTTCGAAGTTCAACAAGTAGGATGCCTGGCAATCAAACGCCTGATGGCTCCAACAATATCAACATCAACAACTAAAACTAACACCAATGTTGTACTCTCTGTGTGCGAGTGTGCTCTTGTGTCTGTCAACCTCACACCAAATAAATTCAGGCACTCGTGTTAGTGTTTGCTCTAATTCTGTCTCGTCTTCTGGTGAGTCAAACGCAGAAACATTGAGAGCAGTTGAACCTTCAGGAATGGAAGTAAGGAAGGAAGATAATGGGCCATGTGTCGTAGTGGTTCATTCTCGTGGCAATGACGTCACGCATGGATTCCTGGTCTTCAAATTCACTTGTGAGTAGTAGAGGGTGCATTCAGAAGAAGGACTGTTCTCACGCACATTGTCAGCGTGTTCCAGACACACCATGAGTACGTGATTTAATTTAATGACGATAAAACTTGGTGCAGCTATTGTGTTACGGTCAAATCGATTTGAGCAATGTCGGCCAAAAAATATTAGTATACTACCCAAACAATAAATGACTAATATCTCAAAAAAAATTCGGTTAGAGCACAAATCAATTGATGACTCCAAAACGCTTATTTTTGGGCATAAAATAAGAGGATTGGCCACCACTAAAGTTCACTATTTCAACCTTCTGTCTTCTTTTAATGCGTTGACACTCGAGTTGCGTCGTCATTAACTGCCAACTACAACTACTTCTACTAGATGGCCTAATATTAGCCTCAAGCAAGTTCCACCCGTGAGTTTAAACTGATTGAAATAGCGACGATCGCCCATCTTTCCCAATTAACTGATGACGTGTGGGTAGTGGTTCAGTAGTGAGTGGTGGTGAGCTATGCTTTGTGCATCATCCCCCCGTTGCTTAGTTTGTTCCTAGAAATATTGTGATGAAAGAGTAGATGAAGTTGATGATGACGATGATGATGATGATGAGTTTGGTGATGTGAGGGGAATGCTTGAAAATGTTTGAGAATTCGATAAAGTGCATCAACAGATCGATTCACCTCCCACTCTAGCAGAATGCGAAAAAAATGCAGATCGATGCATTCAAATGGTGAAAACTCGATTCGACATTCGTTTGAGATCTCTCTGTGCCAACTATCTTGGGAGCAGTAGCGAACGAATCACTATCAAGTATGTGAAGTCCATAGAAACTTTCTTCTTCTTTTCCTGCGAATTTCATAAGAGACAGGAAAATTATATACTAAATAGATATGAGAGAGGTGTTGAAAGACGTATTGATAGTAAGTATTGATAATACGTTGTGAATATCATATTCTGAATTGGGGTTGCAATAGTAGGAAGAATTAACACGGCTTTGACAGTTGTCGTTTTAATTCAGGGTTGATAGGAGTTTTGTCAACAACAATACACAACTCCCTGAACACTGAACTCGTTCAAGTACCACACCATAGTCAAATAAAATTCGATTTTTCCGATGCAAGGTCAATTTGAGGAACTTTATTAAATTCTGCTCGAGATGTATTCAGTCAAATTATTTAAACTTGTCAGACATTCGTTCGTTCGATTTCACGCCTCATTAGGACAAGGAATTGGCCAATATTACATCAAGCACTCAAACATCTATTGGTTACTTATAATCAAATTAATTGACTTGACCAATCGTTGACGTCACTCTGCTGATTAATGATTGAAGTATTTTCTCAAAATATCAATATGAATTTGATCATATTTGAGTGGCAAGTATTCTCTTGGCTTCTCACAGCATGTCCGAGCCACAGCAAACACTTTATGAAGCTATTATTCGATATGACATTGATTCTGTAAGAATTCAACTGGTAAACAATGTAAGTCAAACAACATTGATATTCTTCTAGGTCAATCCAAATGTTTTCCCTAATAATCCGACAATTACACCACTCATTTTAGCTGCGAGACTAAAGTTCTATGACATCGCAAATGAACTATTGTTATTTGGAGCTGACGTGAATGGGGTTGATGAATTTGGACGGACTGCGTTGCATGTTGCAGTGGACAATAATGATGAGGCTACCGTCTATATTCTTATGTTTCATAATTGCAATTTAGAAAAATATGACAATGTTGGTATAACTCCTCTTGGATTGGCTGTGGAGAAAAATAACATCTACATGGTTCGCTATTTAGTTGCACATGGAGCAGTGGTTTATAAGGAAGAGGATGGAATTGAACTTCCACCCCTCTCTCTTGCTGCTTGCCTTGTATGCTCATCACTTAAGATTATGATTTTAGGGATATGCTGATATCCTTCAATTCCTGCTGAGTGTGGAAGAGGGCGACAGCATTAAGAAGAGAATGCATATGAATTTTGCCCTCTGTATGGCCATCGATAAAGGCCAAATCGAAGTAGCAAGGCTCTTGATTGATTACGGTGCACCATTAGGTCGTTGGGATGAATCTGAATTATCTCCTTTGGAATATGCCATTATTGGAGATCAGGAAGATATGGTTTCACTTCTT